CACCTTGAGACGCCCATAAGAAAATCTTAGTCTCTCGAGTCATAGCATAAAATCAAACCCCTTTGAGGGTTGTGCTTTGCAGAGTTAAGATTGAACTGAGCTTTCATAGAACAAATGAGCTGAGAAGCTGATAGTTGATGGACACAAGCTCTTGTAGATCGAATGAGCTAAAAAAGGCCAATAGCTAATGGGCTCAAAGGCCAATAGCATTTTCTGATGAACTGATAAGTTTAAAAGTTAATAACATATTTCTGAGTCTTCCAAGCCAAGGAGTTAACAAACTCATGATACTTGTAAGAATTCATTCTAAACATAGAACTTGACAAGATACCATCAGTTCATCAATAATCAATAATATATGAAATGCATCAACATTAAAGTGGCACAATAATTAAATATAAATGTCTGTGGCATGAGTCATCAATAATAAGATATGAATATTTAAAATATACTCAGGTTGAGTTATTCAAGCAGCAAATTAAACAATTAAACGCATGCCAAGCAAAGTATAGAATTTTATGTTTATGTATTCCCACTCCCCCTCTCAAAGAGAGATTTATCTCTTTAAGTTAGAACTAATAATAAAGACCACCAGCTCATGGATATCACTAGCTTGTGGATTATTCCACCATTTGCATGAGGCTCCACAAATGTATTAATATAAATAAATGTCATTTAAGCCACTCACTTTTAGTTGAAACATGAAGAATGTATTATATTCAATATATTCAATAAATAGGGGCTTAGCATATCTTATTAATGAATGGCCCATGAGAGGTGGAACAAGATGGCTAGTGAAATGGCAAGCTGGCTGCAAGCTTGCTGACTTGAAAAGTTGGCAAAGTAAACCAACTAGCTACAAGTCGAGATCTCTAGAGTAGATTCAAAATGATTAACGTGGCTTTAGGAGGCTAAGTGCCAATGTTTCAGATTTCTTTTTAGTTTATTGTATGCTTGTTCTAATAGACTACAGCCCACAGGGCCTCCACGCTATATAAAAGTTCATAATATATATATATATATGTATGTATTCTTCATTGGGTGTTTTAGAAATTTTATTAGGTGACATCCTTGAATGTCTCACCTAACTACATGGGTCACCTTGGCTATTATATTGAAATATTTCAAGGTTTTCCTTATTTTAACTAATCAACTAGACCTGAGCTCAGTTGTCATAAGGATGAGCTCAAGTAGTTGAGTTCATCTGAGGTTGTTTACCTCATCCAAGGGTAGTTCACCTTGGAATGGGTTGTCATGAGGATGAGTTCAAGTAGTTGAGTTCATCCGAGAGTGTTTACCTCATCCAAGGTAGTTCACCTTGGAATGGGTTGTCATGAGGATGAGTTCAAGTAGTTGAGTTCATCCGAGAGTGTTTACCTCATCCAAGGTAGTTCACCTGGGAATGGGTTGTGAGGATGAGTTCAAGTAGTTGAGTTCATCCGAGAGTGTTTACCTCATCCAAGGTAGTTCACCTCAGAATGGGTTGTGAGGATGAGTTCAAGTAGTTGAGTTCATCCAAGGTTGTTTACCTCATCCAAGGTATTTCACCTCGGAATGGGTTGTGAAGATGAGTTCAAGTAAGTTGAGTTCATCCAAGGTTGTTTACCTCATCCAAGGTATTTCACCTCGGAATGGGTTGTGAGGATGAGTTCAAGTAAGTTGTATGAACTTGTTTAAGTTCCTAAGTCAGCACATGAAGTTCCTGTTGTTAAAGTCCAAGGCTAACCATATTATATGATAAGGGTACAAATATATACACATATATATCTTAAGCTCAGTATCACAGTTAATAGTTGTAATTAAAATAAATTATGAAGCTGCACTTTTTAATCATAGGTTCCTATTAGAAGT